ATTTTGCGTATAAAAATTCCCGTTTTTCCTTAATTTTTATTTTGTTTTTCCGGGCGCTTCTGTAAGTAATTGGGAATTTTAAATTTTTACCTCTCAAAAGTACCAACTAAATTCAGCATTATTTCGACTACTAATGGTGTACACAGACACAAAAATAAAAAAAACACACATCATTGTAAAATCAATACATTCATCGTTCCACTCAGAATCTAAAATAGGGAGGTGCAAAAATTGCCGGCATAAACAACTTCTTATTAATTTTAGAAGTTAATAAACCGCATTTTTTAATTGTCACGTCTTGGACACACAACTTGTTCGTATTAATATAAAAATTAATATGTACCTATGGATTATTTATACGATTTAGAATGAAAAAAAAATATTCTGTGTATGTATAATTATATTGTATTGTACTATAGTATTACTAGCGAATTGTTAGTATAATATAATGCTATCGTATTTCTCTGCTTTTGGATCGATATGCGTGCGTGACATTCCTTAGAAGATATTATAAAGTTGAACTTGCGCTGAATTTTTGCATACAAAATTAAAACAAATCAATGAACACCGTTGAAAATATTCACCACAATGTTTTAAAAAAAAAAACATGTCGGAGCTTTTTTTTATAGGTATTATGTTGTTGAGCACGGTGCCAGGCGCAGAGGGGGGGGGGGGCGAGTAATGTTGTTGGTGCGGGGACATCCTTAATTTCTACAAAATACTTAAATATCACTAGCAGACTTGCAGACTTGTTCTATACTATTTATTAATTCATGATAAAATTGTCTTTGATCAGAATTAGTTTCTTCGCTCGTAACTGCCTAAGAAATAAGTTCGTACACAGATTGTTTGTGTTGTGTTGAACGTTTTTTGGTTTCTTTAGTGTCAACCAACGATCGTACATAATATATTATATGTTGTAAACATATATTCAGCCGACGTCATGGCGAAAAAAAATACACATAGTCAACCGTCGGTGCGGAAAAAAACGTTTAGATATACGGTACTACGATATAGACTATAGGGTAATAGGGTATATACATTATTATCTATATAATATCAGATTCTACACTATAGTTATGCAACAGACGCCGCCCGACAAACCTCCACGTCGCGCATGCTTATCCGCGTTGTAATTACGCTTGCACTTATATAGTTTATACTACAACTGATATACAATATCACAATCAACAGTGATCATCGAAAACTACAATCACTGCAAATCGAATGTCGAAATAATCGTCATTTGTATACTCTGCGTATAATTTCGTCGGGACGAAATAACGGAAACGTCTAGAGTTTTTTCTCCAAACGAATATCGTGTGTTTTAATATTGTTAAAGGTATGTCGCGCAGTAATTCGATACATGTGTGAAATTATTTTATTCGGACGTCGCATCAATAAATCTATACATGCACGCTTGCATGCATGCACGCGAGTAAACTGTATAGACATTGTGCAATTGGTTTTCCGCATTTACTGTACAGTTTTAGTCCACGTTTTTGTCAGTGTGTTTTTATTATTATTATTTTTATATTTTTAATGTCAGCTGTGTGAAAAAAAATACATACCGTGGGTGGTTTCAATAGTTTTAACATTGCACCTAAATAATCTTATGAACTCTACGAATCGCAATATTAACATATCGGTTTTCGTAAGATTTATCTAGAAATCCCAATATTCACTATAACTGTACATACACATACCTAATAAAGTGGGTATAGCATGTCTCTCATTTAAATAAAGTTGTTGAAACCACATTACCACAACTATATATGTATGTAATTTAAGAACAAGCAATAATCGATGTCAGTAAAAATAAAGGGGTGTCATTATTGTAAATCCCCCAAATTAAAAATTTCCTACATAATGTATAGTAAAAATCATGAATAAATCAGTATCAGTTTAAATATATTTTGGAAATCGCGTTAAGTATACCACAGGTACCTATAATGCATAATATAGTGTTGATTTTTTATGTTTGTTTCAATGTATAACAGTACAATTGAATATTAAGTAACCTTATAAAATATGTGTAATAATCATTGTCTGTTTTATGGTAATTAGAAACTTAATTATTTTTTAAACAGTATCGTGCCTATTGCGTAGCAATATCCTTCTTAATAGTATACATAATATTATACCCACTTAGAAGATAAGTAATTATCTTAACGATATTATAAATTGTTAACAAATGTATGTTAAATTATACCTATCCGATTTACATAAAAACCTAAAATTATTTTAAACTACAAATTATTCCTGTAAGAATTGAAAGAGTAAAAAGTTTACAATTTCAGTTCCTATACTATTACAATTCAAATTCTATACACTACAGCCGCTAAATAGCTACGTATTCAGAAAAAAAAATTATAAACATGGATTCGATTTATTATTATTTATTATCAATTGTATTATTATACTTGATGATTATTGTTGCTCGTGTGTTTCTTCAAATTACTATCAAGCTCTTTGTGTAGAAACCAAACACATTATGAATATAAATTCCTTATGAAATCTTGATCTAGAATTCTGGTTGAAATTTTAAAAGGGATTTTTTGCTGTCTTTCGTACTATAGTTTATGGATGGTTTTTATGTTTCAACACAGTATTTATATCGTTAAAGTTTCGGCACCAGTTAGTATAGTTATTAGATGAATGAATTGATGATTTTACTTATTAGTGTAGATCCGCACGAAATACAACCACAGTCTTATTATTATATTTTATCGTACAATTTAGGAACCTACTTAATAATATACATTTAACATAACGTCTAGTAATAGGTGAAAAATTACAATGTAGACCTAATAAAATATATGAGTTACCTATATTTAGATAAAATGTGGTCTAGGCAGAATACACCAGTACACAATAACTAATCGATAGAGTATTGATCAAATATTTTATTAAGTAGATATACGCCATTGATTTTCTCTGATCATTAAATATTTAAATATTCAAGAAGTAGGTTATACATTAAATTGTTCAATTACAAGGTCGTGGGGAAGTGTTTAAAATTAAATACCTATTATGAAAAACCAAAAAACTCTTATCCTATAATATAGTATACATTATATATTACATAGAAAAAGATAAATTATATATGTTTATTTTTTTGAGTTAACACAAAATCTAATGGAAATTAAGTCAATGGTGGCCAACGGGTGTTGTAATCACACAAAACCCCTTCATTGTGTTTATCCACAAATCACAATACGATTCACAAATCTAAACTTTTCAAAAATGAATAAAAAAATTATATAAAGTTTAGTGTTTATAGATGAAAGTGTTTATATATAAATAAATATTTATATGTTTACAAGAAGATATATTTCGTTATATTATTGCATCACATTATAGGATAATAGGTTCTTTTATTTCACATGCATAATGATGTATCATTTAATATGCAAATCATCATATTTATTTATTTATGAACAAAGAGTTTCGATTTGTTAATCGCTTTTACATTCTTTTAACCGTCTTTTTGTTTTATGAATTTTCATATAACATTTGAACTGTTAATGTTTAAAAAATAAGTAATACGCTTATTGATGGTAGCAGAGAAGTAGAGGAGTAGTATTGTTCACACAGAGCCACCCTGATGTCGGTTATATAGAAAAAAAAATAATAATTATGCCTATTATATCTTATGAATAATTTTAATTTATCGATATAACTACCTATAAATATTATATACAAAAATGTGTAAAACCAAAAAAATGTATCTACACATCACCTACAACTTAAATGAGTTAATATAATTCAAAATTCTAATAATAAAACTTTTTAATTTCAACAACTTCTATATTATATCATTTATGCAAAAACATTAAATTATGAATTAATAAAAAATTACTTTATTTTAAACCTAGGGGCCGCCCCCCCCCCAAGCTGTATTTCTAAACAATTGTATACGGTTAAAAACAAAATTACAAAAAAAAAATCATCGACATTTTCTTAAAAATTGTGAGTTATAAGCAATAAACAAGTAGTTCGTCGCAAGAATCGATGCAGTTAAATATATAGCTATGCTATAATACGATACGCGTGCCCGTAATGCACTTACTATACTGCACATTGATTAATTTTATTAGCATAATGAGTACATCATCATGTGAACCACACACGTTGGCCACTCCTGTCACTCTGTCAGTTGTAGAGAATATCAAGAATACTGTCGAAGATGACAGTTCATTTTTTTCACGTGTGAATGAATATACTAACGGTTGCGAATGCTCAAACTTTACGGTTCAGTCGACGCGTACCGACTGCGTAATATGTAGTAATACCTCTACTTTACCTATGTTCTAGATACATCATTTTTGCGTAATAGTTTATAAAATATATATAGATAAACGAAAAACTAAGTGCAGGTAAGACTTTTCAAAACCTATCGACGAAAAGAATATTGCAGACCGGCAAGTGGCGACCATCCCTTTGACGAAAAACAATCACCACTACAACAATAGACGCAATAGTCATCAAACTTTTACAAAACGATATCGTGCACCGCGTACGACAAGGGTGGGTAAATGGTCAAATGGTGAGGTGGTGTATTCAAATTTGAATGGGTAAAATGTTGTAAAAGGAAGCGTGTGTACAAAGCATAGTTTACGTTCCCAAAAAGTTAATGATTTATTTATGCTATTACTAAATAAAACTATAGCCCGCTTGTTTAAAAATATTTTAAAAATAAAATAGTAAAATATTTTCAAGAAGAAAAGAATACAATGACCCTGCCCTTAAATAACCAACAATTATTATTATGGCTATATAATAAATCGAATGCTATACATAGGTATTACAATTTAGATGATATTATTATTTAGACATAAATACATTATATTATGCAGTCAAATGAAGTCGTCGTAATGCAATAGTCGAATCAGACAAGCTACGGCGGGAGGCGTAGGTAATATACAATATAACAAATAACAAATAACAATATAATATTATAATTATTATAATTTAAACCGCGCGCGCGTCAAACTCACCCGCAGTCGGATGGCAGGTCTTCGATGTGCGGCTGTACCGTCGGGCGGGCGTACGGATTGGTCATCTCGTCTGTGGTCGTCGACTATTACCGCTACCGTTGTACCAGTTAATAACACTATATTATAGATACGATGTACACCAAATTTAAATAAACTGCAGCCGGATTCTGTTGTTATATTCTTCTTCCACGACCGGGCCTGCGACGGCTGCTGCACTCTCGCGCGTATAATGTGACGTTTCAATATACACCGCCGAGGTGTAATAACGAATCGGGTTTTGATATTATAACGACATTAATAATATTATTACGGAGAACCGACGGCACGTTGCTCGAAAACGACACTTTTACGGTGATATTTTGTGATGTCGTCGTCGTCGTCATCGTCTCCGCCGCTACAAAACGAAAAACCAAAGACGCACGACACACTTTTGACGCAGTACCACTTGAAAGTTTTTGTAAATAATATAAGTTATATTATATTTTACCTCGTTTGTATGAGAACGGCGCGCGCGATTCCCGCTAACTGTGTTCGGGCCGAGTGCGCCGCGGCAAGTCGGTAGGCGCGCTATGAGGTCACGACTCACGAGCCACCGCCGCCGCCGACTGTATAATATAATAAAATAATAATGTATTCGTGGTGGGGTTACACGCGCTCGCCCCGGTCGTACCTGTTCAGGTGAAAGTGTTGTCGTCATGACGACGACTACGACCGCGGTAAATGTTTGTGGTCGCACATGACTGTAGTAGTTGATTTTTAGGTACCTAGTACGTCTGCGTTTTATTTCCCGAAACAATGTTTACGCGAGGATATCGCACGCGACCACGTTGATTCGATATAAATGATTGCACATATTACATCGTAGGTGCATCCACAGGTCGTACAGCCTATATGTATACCGACGTGGACACGCGCCGTCTTGGAAGGTGTTGATGATAATATTATAAAATGTTATATTTTTTATTTCCAAAACCTCGGGAGGACGTCATATTTACTGCTGGGCGCTGAGGGCAGGGGCGTGCCCCTGGCTGAGGGTATTATTTTGAGGTACAGCAATTATAGGTTAGGTTATGTACTCATATAATACGTATTATAATTATACAGATTTACCGCGTCGATGATATTATACAAACCTTGTGATTGGTCCAAGCCAACCGACTTCGGGCACTTTTCATATTTTTTATATCGCTTATGATTTCTTCATAAACATGAAAAATGAAATGAAACGTTTTTAAATTTTTTATACAAAAAAAATACTACATGTTTGAAAATCGAGGTCCCTGCAAAGAAGAAACTGGAGTTAAACTGATGGTCTTTCTACACCTCTTAATTTCGGCTTGTTCGTTTGTTATTGGTTTGTGATAAGATGGAAACGGCTCAAGTCATATTGTGAACATATCTATTGTCTTCTACACAGTCTTGTAAAGTACTTGAGTAAAAGAATTTGAGTAAACGTACTCAAATACATATTTTAAATACTTTTTAGAAAGTACTTGAACAAAGTATTTTAAATACTTTCTCAACGTATCTGTATTTAAAACCAAATACTAATTTTCAAATACTTCTTCGTTTAGTTTATATAATATTTTCTATTTTAATCGAGTAAAAAAATACGCCTGCAACCAAAAGTTTAGTTTTCAATGACGGTTGAAGCGTTGGAAAGCGCGGAAAACCAGCGGGCGAAAGTGGTAATCCATAAAAGTGCTGGGCGTGCATATCACGCATAACCCCTGCACAACCAGACACTGAAATCTATACCACGGTCCTTACAAAACATAAACTTTTGGTTAAATCTTATATTTATATTATAACCTCTTTGCACGGCATCCAACTATGGGGACCAGCAATCATCAAACCCTAAAGCCTTGCAACTTGCAAGCATTCCAATCCATATGCCTACTCTTAATAACCTCTTTCGTCCCTTGGTATGTCGTATGTAACCAATAAGACCTTCCATAAAGACCTTAATATTCCAACCCTCAAGTCTCAATGACTTAGCTAAATCTCATTACAAAAAATATTAAAATTCCACTCAAAACTTCACACTCATTCAAATCCACTATTCACTAATTAAAAATCTATCCACTACCTCACTCATTCCTAGAAGGTTAAAAAGAAAATGGCCAAGAGACCTGCTCAATGCTTAAAAAAAAAAATGATTAACTACCAAAAAACTATATAAAAAAAAACAAAACAAACCTAATTTCTGGTCAGGTGGCACTGCTGGGAGCCTTCCTATTAATGTTATTTTATGTCTAATGTTGTTATGTCACCACACTTACTTATTATACCTTGTATGTTGTACAGATTGTAAATATGTGTATACTTTTAAAAAAAAAAAAAAAAAAAAACTATATTAACTATAATAAATCACATAATTTTTTGCATAACATTGAAAAAAAAACCTTCTTGCATGACTCTTAAACATTTATAAAACATTTATAATAGGTATTTCATGAAATAATTTTATTGTTTTCTTAGAAATCATAGAATAATCAAATTGTCGCATAGATCCCTGCATACTAGTGCATAGTCCATAACCTCTGCCGTGATTACATTTTTTTTATTATTATTTTATTTTAATATAATAATTATTTATACTGAAAATCCATACCACAGTCCTTAAAAAACATAAACTTTTGGGGGAGTGGGGGTCAGACCCTCCCCCTCGGATTTTTATTACCTTAGAAAATAGTTTTGACTTTTTGAGAGGGTGGGGGATTTTGAAATTGTCACCTTCCATTTAGCTAGCTAAATCGTTTTTTTCACCTTTCAAAAGTCATGTCTACGCCAATGTCCAGCATGCATGACGCTTAAAATAAATAAAACCAAATCGTTTCTTTCATGAAATATTGTTTTCATACAATAGTCTGGTTGTTGCATCGACCCTAGACTGCAATACTGCATTACATTTGCCGTGAATCGTGATGGTGTATGATCGATAAACGCAGAGGCGTGACAAAAAATAGTATGTGTGGCTCGTGTGCAGGGAAGGGAATTTCAGTCTTGGGCGAAATGCTGCCCTCGCCTGAGGAGTCAGGGATCATTTATATCATTTTCAAAATAACGCCTAACGTTCGATGTGGCACATCCCAGACTGTATGCTATAGCGACTAACTTCGATAAATTGTCACTATACCAACCGAATACTGAACACAACAATAACCTCTCCCCAACTTCCAGTACCGGAGTAATAGCCATTTGAAAATCCATCATACATTTCCTGTGGCGAACCCTATACAATTTGACTGTCCAATCCAAGCAGAGTGGCTTAAACGCATAGTGCATAGAAAATATTCTGAAGACCTGAAGTCAACCTAGAATTGGTAGTAGGTACCTAATAGGTATTCTCAGACTAGGAAAAGGACTACAGTGAAACAATTACGTATATATTTTGATAACAAATATGGACAGCTTGAAAAAATAAACATAAAGTATTTTATATTAGAAGTGTCACGGGTAGTTTTAAAAATCTTTATTTTGTGGGGATTATATGACTCGATCCCCCACAACCTTATCCACCCATGATAAAGTGTGTAATTGATATAAATTATGAAACGTTCGCATACGATCATGTAGCTATAATCTATATATATAATAGCGGAGTACGTTATAATTCATATAAACATACTACACAGCCACACGTAGGTCATACCATATAACCACTAAACCACATAATGGTTAATAACACTATATAAGAGTTAAGTAGGTATATTATACCTACCTACGTCATAATATTATTATATATAGAATGCACAACGCACCTTAGCTTGCCAGTTGCCATTGGTCTCGGCAAAATGATTGTGATATTATTATCGTACCTATATTATATGATTACCTACACTCGAAATACGCGGTCTGCACACGCAACGCGTCCATAATACACATGGCATATGTGTATAAACGGCCAAATGTAAGCTCCTACATGGACATTTAAAAAAAAGGTGGGTAAGTGGATGTCGCTCTGCTGTACAGTAGGTTACAAGTGGGTCACTGTATAATTGATGCTATTAAATTTGAATTCAATGATACAATATCATTGTATAAGAAAAACGATTCTGAGCGAAGACGGTATGTCAGTCTAGGTTAAGACAAATTATATACATATCTATGGTATTAAAAAAAAATTGACCTATAATAAATTCCAAATTAATCATATCACAATATCCATTAGGTACTTATAACACGTTATACACCAACAACAAACCCTGATACTATCATATATATATAATAGTACACTTTAGAAGTTTCAAGTAGGTACCCACGAATAATATTATATAATCACAACAAAATAACTAGGTTTTTTAATATGTAATTTCGTCCAAATTTGAACATAAAATGACTATAAAAGTAAACTGTGATTGTATATTTTTTAGATTTTTCGGTAAGAGAATTAACTACTTACGTGGAATCTTGTTTTAAATTTTCAATCCTTAGCTATAAAAACTGAACATTTTATAATTTATTAATTACGATGATTAATAATTTTCGAGATTTTGAAAAATTCTATCAAAATTCGATGTTAAAATGCTTATAAAAAAAAATTGTGCCTATGTATTTTTAATATTTTTCAACTGATATTGTAACAATATATCAGGAGCCTTGTATTACATTTTTACACTTTTTGGCCCAACAGATAAAACTTAATTGATATTTATAGAAAAAAAAAAACTAAAAAAATTGAAAACTGAAAATGTCCGTAAACGGCTCAAAAAGTGTCAAAATATTTTCAAAATTGTAGGGTGTATAGGAAATGCTAATATAAACATTCAGTGAAATTTTCATGTATCTACAGTAATTCGTTTTTTAATTACAACAAAAAAAGGAAATTGCCACATGAGAAATCGAGTGAATATCCAATGTTGTAAAAATTTGAATTTCAAACGCTCATAAAAATTTAATTTGACTTTCCGGTAGAAATTTTTTTATTGATAAAGGTAGACAATCTTATGAGTAATCTTGTATTAGATTTTCAAATCTTAGATTTAAAAAGAAAAATTTTTACGAATTCTTAACTCAAAATAATTTGCTAATTTTCGTGATTTTTCCATATTTTGTCAATTTT